TTGCAGAGCTTCAAGAACAGCACAGGGGTCTCCGAGAGTGAGAAGCACCAGCCTCCTTCCAGGCCCGGGGCTGCAGAAGCCTAGTGGGCTGAGCTGGGTGTAGATGGGGTTGAGGGTAAAGAAGTGAGGGAGGGGAGAATGTGAGCGAACACCAGATCAACACGATGGGCCCAGGAGTCGGAGTCAGATAAAGAGGCCAAAGCCAACCTGAAAAGGTGAACGAGTGCAAAGATTTGGTGGGAGTATTTTGGAGGTCCTGGTGCTGAAGAGGGGCTCAAGTCAGAGGAGAGAAGGGAATGAGCCAGAACGATAGAAGGTGGTGGTCAGAGGATGCGCTGCTGAAAATCGAGAACTGCTTTTCAGTAGCAGGTGAAGATTCTGATAATCTCAAAGTCTAAGGCTAAGGTGGGATAAAGCATTTGAGGCCAGAGGGTCAAGGCCAATGTACTGAACAGAGTATATCTGTCAGTGATTTCTGGTTTTGCTCTCACATCTACTAAATTTTTTTGAAAAACTGTGTTTCCTCCCAGACATATAACTTGACCTCTAAAATGTTTCATCATAAGCTTACATGAATGCAAAAAATAGAAATTCTCGCATATTATCTACACCAGCATTTTATTTATTTATTTATTTATTTATTTATTTATTTATTTATTTATTTATTTATTTATTTATTTAGTAAGCTCTACGCCCAATGCATGCCTGGAAGTCAGGACCTCAAGTTCAAGAGTCACCCGCTCTACCAAATGAGCCAGCCAGGTGCCCCATACTGGCATTTTAAAATAAAACCATTACATTACTCAAATATATTCAGTGGAATATAAATACTATACATGTAAAGGTACCAACAGATAAGAGTTTAACACTCTTTTTCCCGTGAAATTATATATCCATTCCAGTTCACCCACAAAATAGTAACCTAATGATGCATTCTTCTTTTAAATCTTTTTTTTTTTTTAACGATTTTTTATTTATTTGACAGAGAGAGACACAGCGAGAGAGGGAACACAAGCAGGGGGAGTGGGAGAGGGAGAAGCAGGTTCTCCGCAGAGCAGGGAGCCCGATGTGGGGCTCGATCCCAGGACCCTGGGATCATGACCTGAGCCGAAGGCAGATGCTTAACGACTGAGCCACCCAGGTGCCCCTAATGATGCATTCTTTATTCTTAAGAATTGTTTGACTACCCACTTTTACTTCTTTGCAACGAAAATATGCTTCTAAGTTAAAACCTTTCTGAATTGTTAGTATTATAATTACTAGTGCACAATTGATTAAAACATTAAAAAATTGATAATTTATTAAAAATAAGTAAACCTGTGTAAAGCATGACAAAGACTTGGGAGTGAGTTTTATGTGCTTTGAGAAAGGAGGTTTCCCGATACCAGGATTTCAGATGTTCCCCGTGTTCAAATGTTCCCCAAAGATTCCCCAGAAACAAAAAATTTGAGGCAACTAAATGGATTGCTCTCTAACCTAGCACGGTGATCAAGACTATCATGAAGCAATGGGAGTAAAGAGCTGGTGCTTTTTCGTTGTTTTAAAAGAATTTATGGCACCCCTGCAGTTTGGAAAAACTTGATGTGATGCTTCCGAGCATGATGGTGGTAGGTAGAGAATTTTGCTCTTTTTTCTTTTTCTTTTCCTTTCCTTTCCCCCTTTCCCTCCCTCCTTCCTTGCTTCCTTCCTTCATTCCTTCCTCCCTCCCTCCTCCCCTTCCTCCCTCTTTCTTTTCTTTCTTTTTCTTTTCCTCTTTCTCATCGATTACTGCGTTAGCTTAATCTTCTGGTTCCAGGAATAATTTACTTATCTTATTCCTCATGGCTATTGATCTCTCTGAAGACCCCAACTAATAACAGTGTGAAACAAATAAAAAGATTTCCTACTCTCTCAACTAAACTGTGCTAGAAATGGTAAATTTGGAACTCTGCCAGTTATTGCCTGGAGTTATAAGTCTTGGGCAATTGGCTACCCATTTTCTCCAGAGGCCCTGTGCCTCATACACAATTTAGATTTTAGTTCTATCTACAGAAAGTATTTCCCTACCCTTTCATAGAGATTTCTGGCCATGACATTGGTTAAGAAATTCTGCCCTTTCAGTAAGTGCATTTTACAGAAACAAATTATATTACTTTGAAATAACAATAAAAATCTCCAAGGACAACAGTTTACTTGATCTTTATAGTTTCTAGAGCCAAAGGGGTATCACGACATTAAATCCTAATAAATGTCGAGCCCACTGGGAGCACAAAATTTTCCCCAGAGGTCAGTTCTGACATCATTGACTCATATGGTAATAATAAAATATGGCTTGGGTTCAGATCTTTATTATTACTTGCTCTTTGTAGTCCATGCTTTTCCCAGAAACGGGTACAAGATTATTAACAGTGGTCTCTTCTGGAATTTCTCTGATCAAATATGAAGGTTATAGCTACTTTGTACCTAAGAAATCTAGGCCAATTTTACCAATCAAGAAACTGAGCACAGTACTTTCAAGGTTGAGCTAATAGGGCTACATAACCCAGTTATATTTGACAGACAATTCTTACTTGAACGATAGTTATTTGTTGTATCGGATTCATTTAGGAAGGCTAAATTCCTAAAACTGCCTAACAGACAGAAAGAAGGTACAAGTCCCTGTCGCTAAGGCCTTTGAACAGTGGTACAAACGGTATCAAGAATACTGAGGCTTGGGCGCCTGCGTGGCTCAGTTGGTTAAGCGACTGCCTTCGGCTCAGGTCATGATCCTGGAGTCCCAGGATCGAGTCCCGCATCGGGCTCCCTGCTCGGCGGGGAGTCTGCTTCTCCCTCTGACCCTCCCCCCTCTCATGTACTCTCTCTCATTCTCGCTCTCTCAAATAAATAAATAAATCTTAAAAAAAAAAGAATACTGAGGCTTGTAGGAAAGAGGGGCTGGGGTGTAACTCCCCATACAGTATCATCACCCAAAACATCTGAATATGATCCTTTCACGGTATAGTTTAGGGGCAATAGTCTCAAAAAGTTTGAAAGACCTCCTACTTCCTCAGGGTATGAAGAGGCATTACAGGGCAAATGTGGCAAGATTTCTCAGAACCTCTATCACGTACCTTTTGAATCTCTAAGAGTAGGGGTATCACATGCCAAATACCCTAGCTCCTTTTGGGCAGAAGAGCATTCCAGGATCCATGGAACACTTTAGGAAAACTCTGGTTTGGAATATAATGTCACTGCAAGGCAGAGCTGTTGGTTGGTCACCACAGGAATGTTCTTCTAGTTCTAGGTGGTATGCTTTTGCGAATTGTTCTTTCAGCCTACCTAAATTATCCTTGAATTGTCATACTAACGTCAAAGGTCAGGATGAGGCAGGTCAGTGGAAAAATGGAAAAAAATGGCAAGGAAAGAAAGGACACACAGTTTATGTCTGGGAATTATTTACCAGTGATTGTGTGCAGTAACATTCTCTTTCATAGCATAATGTTTGCATTTTTGCTCCCTCAGAAGGATGGTCTTCAGTGGGACATAACGAGTAAACAAAGATTCGGGTATCTGGTAAAAAAACAAAAACAAACAAGCAAAAAACCCCAGCAATTCGTCTACCTTAACCCCTCACGTAAAATAGTACCCTTAGCTACTATTTTGCAACTCACGGAGTTACCCATGAATTATTTAAGCAGGTACTACAAACTCTCTGAGACATAAAGTACTTCTTTACAAAAATGCTTTACCAAGATCCTAAACTCACTCTTGTTAGCTTAAAAGGCTCAGTCTTGTTTTCCGATTTTCACATGATATGAAAGTAATATATAAAAGTTTTAAAATCTCTCAATCCCAGATAATTAAACATTTGATCTAATTTCAGATGGATTTTAACAAAGATTTAAATAAGAAAAAATAAGTTACATCCTTCTATTGCTTTCCTCTCTTAACTAGCCATGGAAAGTTTCTTTTCTACTGTGTAATCAGAAAAGTTCTAGATTGTTTTACTAAATTACACCTTAAATTCAGCCAGAATTATTCCAAAATAACACTAAACTGATGTAGATGTAGAAAATTTTCAGTGTAGGGGCGCCTGGGTGGCTCAGTCGTTGGGTGTCTGCCTTCGGCTCAGGTCATGATCCCAGGGTCCTGGAATCAAGCCCCGCATCGGGCTCCCTGCTCCACAGGAAGCCTGCTTCTCCCTCTCCCACTCCCCCTGCTTGTGTTCCCTCTCTTGCTGTGTTTCTCTCTGTCAAATAAATAAATAAAAATCTTAAAAAAAAATTTTTTTTCAGTGTAATACTCAAGCATCATAAATTCAAAGCCAAAGCTACTATCAACGTTTTGTAGTCAAAACTGAGTAACTTTTCAGTTGCTATTTTGCTACAGTTTATATAATCTCTTTCCTTAATCCGTGAGAATTGATATTTTTTCAAGTTGGTGAGAAATGCAAATTTATAACCAAAAAGCAAAACACACTCTAAAGCTCAGAGGGGGAAATTTCTGACAGTTGAGGGATTTACCATGTCTCAGGATGGGCCAAAAGTACAATAAAAGTCTGTCTTAAAGGCTTGGCAGTGCTACATGCTACCTAATTCTACATTCCTGATAAGCCTAACAGCAGTTCTTCTGTCCGTGTCCGTACCCAAACCCTTACTTCCCACTGAGGGCATGATCCCGTATCACTAGTCTAAAACCTGAATCTTCGGAGAGCAAACAAGCTGGTTGGCCTAACACGTTTGCTTCTATGTGGGAAGTTTCTAAGATTAATGTACTATATAAATAAATTAAGGACTCTGGTCAAAGTAATTCAGTTTTGCTGTTCATAGCAAGGATATAGCAAAACTGCCGTGTGAACACAGTCAAAAACAGGGGCGGGGGGGAGGGGAATCCACATATTTAAAAAACCAAAACCATACATTAAAGCTCAAGCACTAGATCCTCTCTTAGAATGTATTTATTTTTAAGCTAGACACAAGTTTGACCAAATGCTTTTCCAGTGCTAGGCAGGCAGTTTTAGAAGCAACGAAGAACGAAACTCATTAAAAGCAGCCACATTTATTTTAAAAACTAGTCTGAGGCAAGTAGAGAGGTAACAGCCCTCCACACTGGGGCAAGATCGAAGGATATCCCCGTACATAAACATGGTGCCGAGTCAAAGGATGAAGACATCAAATCTTCGTTTACGTCATACCATATGTCAAAAAGGATTGAAGGACGTATCTAAGAAGGCAGGACAATTTTTATCTAATACAATTAAAACGTGAAAGACTACTTTAGTGATGTGGGCGCACAACTACTCACCATACCAAAACACACTGCGACACCCTAAATCTCAGGCCTTCAGTGTTAGGACATGTTGGTATTATCTAATTCATAAGGAAATAGGAATTTATTTATTTTTTTTTTTTTTACAATGAAGATTGCCAAATCAAGAATCCACTCACTAGCCAGTGGGCAACTGAGGAAGTTATCTGGAAAATTTTAAGGGTTTTTTTTTTTTTCAAAGCTGGAATGCCAGGCCCCAAAGCACCACAAACAAGGCCGCCCGGGACATCTCTCTCTGCTCACTGAGTGGCATTGAAAGAGCTGCATTATTTTTATCCTGAGATTAAAAAACTGACAAGACCAGAAACTTTGAGTCAGGGTAACGTCAGTTACTTTAATACTGATGTGGGTAATGCTGGTCAATACCTTGGGAAGGGGCGGGGGCGGTTACAGAAACCTTTATTACTAGGCAGAGTCCATCTGCATGCATGTAGGTAGATAGATGCCTTTAAGACATGTTCATATTTGTTTTATACTGATAGTCGAGAAACTGCAGTAGCTAACCTTCTGTTGCTTAAAGTGTTTCCCAGAGAAGGATGGTTAAGGGAGTGCTCAAAATTCTCTTTAAATCTTTTTGGTTACATCATGCAGAAAGACTTGATTTGGTGCTTACATGTCTTTTTACCCTTACCTAAGAGTATTTATTAATCACACTTCTTAAAAAGGGAGAACAGATTGGAGGCTGTTTCCACAGCAATCCTACATAGCTAGAATTTAGTAACACTGCTTTGTTTCCATTGTATTTTAAGGTAATCCAGTCAGTGATACTAATTTTCCACTCACCAAAGTGATATGCCTTCTTTTAAAAATAAATTGGCATCAAAAAGTGAGTTGTTTGAAAGAAAAGTTTTAAGTAATACTTCCAAATATAAAACTAGAAATGGGATGTGGACATGGCGAAAATCCATCAAGATCATTCCAGTGTCTGAAGTTTAGAAAACCCTGTTTGGAAGTCCAGTTACTAGTTACGTGAACTAAACCCCGTTCTTTCATAAACTCAACCATTAGTAAGTTTGTGACCTGGAGAACTCTTTCCTAACAATGTCAAGGGATGTAAATACTAATAACCATGTTTTTGGCATAACTGTATCTTAAATCATTCGTTTTACAGCTGAACAAACTGCAGGCCAAGGAGGAGAAGCCAGCCAGCTGAGACCCCAGAGAAATCCGCATCTCTGGAATCCTCAGACAGGGTACCGTCCTGCCCTCACATATAGGATATGAAAAAGGAGCTTTGGTCTCTCTAATTGATGTATAGAGCTTAGGTGACATAATAAGGGTAATTCCAAGATAAATTACACTTTACTTAAAATAGATTTTCAATGACATCAAACTGTAAGCACTTGATTCAGGAAGGGCTGAAGAGCGGTCTGACTTATTTCTACCTCCACTGCTCCTCGAAGATGGGCTCCTCTCCATTTCGGGTGGGGGGTGGGGGGCGGGGGGATGAGGATAGATCCTTCCAAGGAAGCCACCTACTGGGCATATAAAAAGGACAGGAGAGCCGTTTTTTCTAGCTCCCTGTAGGGATATTTTGAAATTTTGTTATTTTATCCGTTCTCTTTTTTGGTTTGCATTCAAGCAACAGAAGGAGGTACCAGTTTGTTTGAAGTTATGACCAAAGGCTCCAGCTGACCCACCGTTCTGACTGGCCTTCCTGGTCCACTCTCCCACCGTCCTCAGGGATATTTCGAACATCCCTCCCCCTTTCCCATCTCAGGCCTTCAATGGGGAAAGTGGAAGCTGTTAAGAGAGAATAATCTCATTTTCCCCAATACCAAATCTAGCGAGCTATCTGCATTCACACCTGTTCACTTCCAGAACCTAAGCACCATCCAGTTACAAAGATTTGTATCTTGTCTTGATCCCTGTTTTATTCCCGAGGACCTAAAACAGTGCCTTGTAAGTAATAGGTGTACAATAAATATTTTAATAAATGAGTTAAAACACCATCTTCCTTCTTGACACGTGAACTGGAACTGTCCCTGTGCCTATTTGAGATGAACCCCTCTTAAGTGTGCGTTCTCACTCATTCCCACTTGCCTGCCTATTCAGATTTCACTCCTGCCACAAGCCACTTCTCCTGACAGCATGTATCTGTCCCCTTCTAATGGAATTTTCCAGTCTGCATATGATCATGCTATATTGTCTCCTTGAGTTAAAATCCTCCCTTGCTCACCCACACCTCAGCTCCATCCATGCTCCACTTTACATCAAAACTTGAGTTGTCTGCAACTGCTGGTTCTACTTCTGTCCCCTTCTGCTCACAACCCACTCCAAGCAGTTCTTCATCCCCAAACTCAGAGCTTGTTAACTCGGAAAAACCCTCAACCGAGTGGCTAATTCGGTCCTCATCTTATTTGTGCAGCACTTGAATGACCATTCCCTTCTTGAAACACGTCACTTTTGTTCTGGTGTGCCACATTTTTCTGCTTTATCTGAGAGATCTGGAAGTCTCCTTTGCTGGCTCCCCCTTCCAAATGCTGGGTGTGCCCCAGGACCCACCCCACCCTCTTCTGGATCCACACGGTTGCACCTCAAACCGTGGGTCCCAGAGCCAGCAGCATCAGCCTCGCTGAAGAGCTTGTTAGAAACGTAGCACCTCAGGCCCCACACCAGACCTACTGAAACTGAATTTGCATTTTAACAGAAACAGGTGACTCTCGGGCACATTAAAATTTGAGAGGCACTTATCTGTTTACAAGTGATTTGTCACATGCCTCTAAGCTCTTATTGGCTAATTCCCAAATGGCCCCTCCCTCAATTCCATGCTGGATCCCAAAAGTTTAGCTCCCGGCCCCTCCCTCAATTCCATGCTGGATCCCATGAGAAATCAGGCATCTCAAACCCAAACGCAAACAGAAATCTTGATTTGTCCCCTCAAGCCAAAAAACCTAAGAGTCACCCTGGTCATCTCTTTGCTTTCTGATTGCTGGGCCAAAATCCTTCCGCTGGCAGGATCTTGAAGACATAAGAGTCCTACCACTTGCCACCAGTTCCACGGCTACCGCCCTGGTCTAAGCTACCAATATTTCTGGTGCAAAGACTTCTAAGAGGGTCTCCGGATACTCCCTATTTTCACCAAGCCTCCCTATGACACACTTTGCATGCAGCATGATCAGAGTGATCTTCAAAGAATTCTTCAATAGAAACCCTTCCCAAATTTTCTACCGTGGCTCTCGAGAGTCGTTTTCTAGTCCCTCCCACACTGTGTCAAGTGCTCTCATCAAACCAGCAGGCTTGTTTGACTCCTCCTTTCCTTTAAATCTTTGCCTTGCTCACCTGCTTCTTTCCCTCTGGTCTCAGCTCAAAGATCACTTCCTTTAAGACTTTCTTTAATCACCATAATTAAGACTCACCTCCCATCCCATCCATCTTGTTACTCTGCTTTGCTCCCCTCTAACAGTTACCTAGCATTACACACATTTGACTCCCCATCAAAACGTCTGGTGCATGAGCAAGGACTTTGTCTTCTGGAACCACCACTGATTAGAACAGCGCCCAGCACACAAGGAGCACTCAAGTGTTGGGTCTTCAAGTGTTGGCAGACCACTGGGGGCAAGGGACAACCTCCTGTGCATGTATTGGAACTTCTATGTGCTAGACAGTCGTATAAATCTGGATGTAGAGAAGTCACCCACAGGTTTCAGGAGGCTCAAATTTTCATAATACGGCAGTTCTAAAAAACTTTTCTGTAGATTAGAATCACCTGGGGATTTAAAAAAAAATTCTAATGTTTCAGCCACATTCCAAATGAATTAGATCGCGATTGCTGGGTGTGGGACACAGGTATCTGCATTTCTTGAAGCTTTTGAGGTAATTCTAATAGGAGACAAGTTTAGGAACCACTGGTTTATAGCATGAGTTGATAACCATGGTATGAGACAGTATATGAAATCTAGAATCTTAAAAAAGAAATCCTAGTCAAAATGTTATGCAAACTTAAGACTTCTATTTCCTGTGTGGTATAGAAAACAAACAAAAAATTCATAAAAATAAAACTGTCTCAAACATTAGGTCATAAAGAGAGCACATCTTCCAGGATTTTCCATATCTGTTTTCCTATCAAGCCTAATACAAATTTGGGTACTTCTATTATGAAGTTGTTTTTCTTCCTCATATACTGAGGGAAAGTTAATGTATGAAAAAGTGTTGACTTCTACATAGTCACAGCTGAAAGCTTCTGGAGACTGTGCACATACAGATATTTTTAATGGTGTCAGGTAAATAGCTCTATCCTGGTAATGAGGATGTAATCACTAAGACAAAATGCGGTATTCTCAAAAGAATTTTTTTACAACTCAACTATGTTACAATAAAATAAATTCATCATCATGCTGCCTGATATTTCTCGCTCAAGAAGCAACATAACCAACTGCTTCCAGTCATCAAGCAAAACATCCTTAGGACAGAAGTTAATCAAATATTGTGCATTTACCTGTCTCAAAGATCACCTTTAAACTGTCTTCACATCTCAGAATGAAGGACAAAATTTTAAAAAGAGAAAAATAAGTCATTTGATTATTAAAATCCTCACTATAGTGCAAATACTGTGGATCTCAAAAGAACCTTAGAGATATTTAAGCCAACCTCATATTACAGATGAATAACCTGACACCCAGAGGAGGTGAAGTAACATGCCTAAAAGTCACACAGGAGAGCTAGAAGAGGAAAAAAAAAAAGTTTTTTTTTTTTTTTCCAAACAAGCAGACAGAATTTTTCACATGTTAATCAAAAAGAATCAAGATCATCAGATTAGGGAGAAATGAGGAATAAAAAGTATGTTACACATAGATTTAAAGGACTAGTTAATCTGATGCCTCCTCCCCCAAACCAAAAAATTCTCCGAATAGATGTTCATATATCCATCAATATGCTTATCCTTAAAATATCAGAATCTTGGAAAATTCAATTTACAAATACATTATTAATTGCATTGTTATAACGAAATTAGTTCATTAAACGTGAAAACATCAAACAGCACCAATACCAGAAAGTTAAAGTGAATACACTACTACTTAAAATAATATATAATCACTGATTGGGACAGAAATCAACTATAGCCACTAGAAAACTATTTAAACTCCTGTTTGACATAAAGGCAGTATTTAAAGACTAACGTATGCCCTTTTCCCCACTGACAGGCCTGTGGCTAGGCATCATAGCAGCGGGTTACGTGGAAAATGTTATTAAATAAGATGCATTTTTTAAATTGCTCAACCTTGAACCATGATACTACATAACCCCATATTTTCCAATATAAGCCAATGACACCATTTTTGGTATCCTAACTATGCTTACCTGTCCCAATTAAAACAAAACAAAACACAACTCCCTTATTAAGCACTAGATTAAATGTATCTATGATTCAGCAGCAAGGCATTTACAAATGGGCTACTGACAGTGTATCAAAATGCTACTAAGGAAAATACAGCAGCAAATACTCTAGTAAGAGCACATTATTCCACATGGAATCCCAAATTATTCTTATCTCTAGCTCCTTAAACTCTTGGAAGACTAGAGATGAACAAGTGTATGTATAAATGGGGCTAGGGAGAAAGAAGCTCTAAATGTAGTGCTCATATTGTAAATTACCCAAGATAATCTGAATGCTTACAGAGAACTCCAACTGTACCTAAATTTTTTAAAGCCCAGAGAACTAAAATGCTAGCAAAATTTTGGTGTTTACCCAAAAAACAGCATTGTAGTTTTAAATGAAAATGAAATAGGCATGGTTTGTGAAGTTTTTATAATATTCACACCACCCTCTCCCTATTCCCTGCTCCTTTCATCAGGTGATCTAAAGACTACCTGGTTTAAAATATTTGGTAATTCAGTGCAGAAAATTAAGGTCACAGACAAAGTACAACAACTTTTAATACACCATTAATACTAATGATTAAAAATTATTGCATAGTCTTATGCATTTACCCTAAAACATTTTCCGAAAGTAAATTCTGAAAGAATTATATAAAAGACAAATAACCTTTTAAAATGTGGATGGCATTTACTACCTCGATCTTCTATCCTTTTTTGCCTTGTCAGTACTTTTGTCCATTGTTTTCTCATTATCTCCCCTGCACTTTGGGCAATACCACTTCCCCTTTGGTTTATAGGTAAGCGAAACACACGAAAAGTGAAACCATTCAATTGGACACTGTTCATTGTCACATCCGATCATTTCCCCATAAGACACTTGGTTACATAAACAGTATGTAGGTTCATTGGGATCAATTGCAAACTCAACAGGTGATGCTTCCCTTTCCTGCTTGGCCTTGGAGCGTTTCTTTTTCTTGGCTGACTTGGATTTCTTTTCTTTAGGTGGCTGATCATCACAGTCTTCAATCCCATTCGTCATGTGACATAAATCACGGCTTTCACTGGTTCGCTGTCTGCGGGGTCTTCTTGAAGATCTTTCCGGCTGGCTGGAATCCATCTTTGCCTTATCTGAGGCCCGTTCACCTTCAGCAGGATCTTGAAAACACTGTGAATGCAACTCCATTTGCCTTGCCCGATTTTCCACCAATTCGAGCATCTGTGTGACAATCTGAATTTTTTCATCTCCCAATTCTTGACTATTGATTAATGCTCTCTGGAGATGTTGCTGTAGGCGTTTTTTCTGGTTTGAATCATCTTCTTTCTTATATTTTTCATAGACATCATCAATTTCCTTTAATGTTTCTAAAAACGTAAGAGAAAAATCAGAACATTTGTGCATTAGCACATATAATATTTTTTAAGTTATCTTTCACAGAACTAGTAAAGTTGAATGAACTCAAATCATAAATCACAGTCCTCTTGGTATGTATACTTTGAAAGACATTATTTCCCATAGAAAGACCGTATGTTATCCAATATGAAAGTATATTTAGAAATAAACTAATAAGAATACAAAGTTTTACAATTATTTATTTATTTATTTATTTATTTTTACAAAGCTTTCTAATACTCAGTCTATATTAAAAAGGATAAGAGGAGTGCGTGGCTGGCTCAGTTGGTAGAGCATATGACTCTTGATCTCAGGGTCATGAATTCAAGCCTACATTGGGTGTTGAGCTTACTTAAAAAACAAAAACAAAAACAAAAAAAACACTGGGGTGTCTGGGTGGCTCAGTCGGTTGAGCATCTGCCTTCGGCTTTGGTCATGATCCCATCGGGCTCCTTCCTAGGGGTTGTGGGGGGAGAGCCTGCTTCTCCATCTCTCTCTGCCTGCAGTTCCCCCTGCTTGTGCTCTCTCTCTCTCTCTGTCAAGTAAATAAATAGAATCTTAAAAAAAAAAATTTTTTTAAAGGATAAGAGATATGTGTACTAATTAATACTCGAAGTATTTTACATGGGCAAGAACATTGTATGCCACTTTATAGTCTACCTAGTGAAGTCACTTATACGTCATCTGAACCTCAAAACACTGTAATAAAATTTACATGCCAGACTTCAACTGTAAAACTTAGAGAGGTTCTATAACTAAGCTACAGATGACTATCCATCTGTGTTTACAGGATTTACAGTTCAATCAATGACTTGCTACATGACTCCAGAGAGACATTCACCTTGACGTTCATATCATATTCCTGGGCACTCTTAAACAAAGCAGACACAAGTAACTCTTCCCACCATATTAGTTTTAATAGCTCATTTATTTTATCATATGGGAGATTCTGAAAACCAAACTATTTCCAGGGTAGGTTTAGGTTCAGATTCTGGCATCAACTGACTAAGCTACTAATAAAATTACAGTAAAGTCAGCACTGGGGCACTCTGCTTTTGTAGATAACTCAGCAGTTGGTTTTAAGCTTTTTAAACTGCTGATGTGGGTATTGTATAGCGTGTGGGACACATTTAAATCAATTAAAAATGTCTGAGTCACTAGATGGTATACAAAAATCTGAAAATATAGTTCCAGATGTCACAAAAAATTTACGTAAGATTAGTTTTTTATTCAAATCTGTTCTATTTCTTGTCCTTATGAGATAAAGCTATCTAAAAGAGAATTGTCTTACTAAAGGTGGAGAAACAAAAATTGCCTCTAATTTACCACACCACATGGCATATCATTTATTATATTCTAATAGTACTACCAGCACGTGGCATACCTTCTAATACTGTTTTACCTTCTAATATTATTACTCTAATGATAACAACAGAAATGTTAGACGAGTAAAATGTGTACACTACGGCTGTCTGCAAGAAAGGTTAACACAAAGCAGGTCTTCAACACGACTCTTAGGCATTAACTCCTCCCTAGAAATTGAACGTACTCACACTTGATGGACAACTGCTTAACCTGGGATACATGACAAACTGCCACCACACATTTGAGGGTACTCATACCTGCACAGCATATTTTAAAACAAAGTTCATATCTAGCCCATTTGCCCAGCTAGGTATGTAAGTGGTTTTCTTAAGAACATAATTTTTCTCCAGGAAAAATAATTATGTATTTTCCCCTCAGACACAAAACTTGAGGATTAAAAAATAAAGGTAAATCTTATTTTAAATATTCTGTACCTAACTATCAGGAGTTAGACACTAATTATATTCTATCATACAGGCACACTGATAACTGTATATGAGAAGAATTCTTATTTCTAAGACTCCTTAACTACATAGTGAAAGAAGGGAAACTAACACTTACTAAGCCCCTTTTATGCGATAAAGATTTTCTCATTTAATCTCCAAGGCAACCCCATGAGAAAGCTATCACTTCTATACATGAAGAAAATGAAGTTCAAGAGGTAACAACCCCAGACTTTGAACTCTGCCAGACAGGTATGTCTGGCTCCACCGTTTAGCACTTTCTACTAAGCTGCATGGAAGGCACTTGAAATTATTAATTTTTAGTTCAATGGTTATTTACCCAAGCAATTATGAACAAGAATATTGGAACAAAAACTGAGGCTCTCTAATAACCATATCCCATAATAAATACTTCTCTCAATTGTGAAACTGTTGTCTTCATTTCTCTATTTTTAAAAGTTTTTGATTCTTCAGTAATTTCTCAAAGCGTCTCAAATAGGTAGGAGAGAAACTTTTTTGATTTCCTGTATAATTTATATCACTAAATACTGCAGGAAGTATTAAATCCAAAAACAGAAGATACTTAAGAACTAGCAAAGAAATAAAAAGCATATGAAATGTGAACCAAGAACACACGAATATATAAAGCTAAATTGTGGAAGCGGAGCTTAGTAAGCATGGGCACAGACTGAAAACTAGATCCTTCTTCTATATTAATCTTGAAATAACCAACCTTAATGGAGCTGAAAATGTTTATAATCTCTCAATCTTTTAAAGCCTAATACTGTTTCTCATGTTACTTAAGACAATTCTAGATGATCAAGATGGCAGATTTCCCTGTAACCGATTTCCCCTCCCAAATTCAGATGAAAATAGCTTAACTCTTTTAAAGGCAAATATGTGTCTTTAAGGAAATGTAAAACCATGCAAGTTTTACAAACCTCAGAGTTACTATTTGAAAAACTAAAAGTGTTCAATATACAGCACATATGTATCATTTTTAGGCTACAATTCATGTATGTGCTCCATGTCTGTAGAAAATATCTTTGGAGAGTTTTTACTAAGTAAGTTTTTATAAAAAGTTAATAGTTAAAAAAAAAAAAAAAAAAAGGATGTGCACATGAAGTAGCCAGCCTACTTCCCCACCTAGTTAATTGAACAAGTCACTTAAACTCCTTGTAAACTTTAACTGGTCTGTAAAATATACTTTTACTTCACAGGATTATTTTGAGATAATGTTCTGGACCTGGCACAGTGATGACACACAGTAAGTAAACACTATTTGATTCTCTTTCCCCCAAAAGAGATCAGTCTTATCAACAACCCTATCATATGGGTTCGGAAGGCAGAAATAAATTACAGATTCGAAAACACAGAAACAATTAAATATTCTAACATGCCACAGGCCAGAAAATGTCACCCCAGAAGTGGGTTCCTTTGAGACTAAATCATAAGATTAGTGACGGGTCTAGAAAAACAGAGAACGGGGTCCAAAAAGTTATTTGTTTAAAGTCCGTACGACTGTTTCCACATTATGTCCAAGGTCTATTCCTTGATCAGGCTTATTAAACGCAAAACGGTTCCCCATTTAAATTTCTCCCCTAGTAGTACACGAAAGGTCCACCAACAGTCGGTGATAAATGATACCCTCTGTAGGAAAAGGCTGATTCCCGTCTTAGTCTTCTTGGGTCTGACCACAAAGGGTGGTTTTTGCCTCATCACTCAAACTTGGCGAAGGAGGGACCCACGGGTTAAGGGACGCCAGGCGGTTGCCCAGTCAACCACCCACTTCCACCTGGGGCCCGGAAGTGACGCAGGCCCGGAACCTACGCGGTGCTAGGGTCAGCGATGGTCCTAGTAGCCGAGCGTCTCTTCGTCCTGATTGAGTGATGGAGAAAGGGTCGAAAAACCACGATAAACATGTCCCAAACCTCAACACTGACTCTGCTAGGAAAGAACTAACGTTCGGCAAGGTTCCGACACCTTCCCACCAGCCAGCTCCGCCCAAACCTTCCGGCCACCAGCCATTTTCGAGGCGGGCGGGAGCGCGCCCGTCCACGCCCCGCCCATGTTCTACGTCACTCCCTCAGGCCCCGCCCCAGGGACCGCAGGCCCTCCCCGCCACACACACGCCCCTCTTCCTTTCCCCGCGGGGACCCCTCCCCTTTTAACCATTTGGCTGATGGCGCTCGGGAAAGGCTGCGGCCCGGAACTTTCCCTGGGGCGGGAGAAGGGAACGTACTCCGTTCCGGAGCCGGGAGCCGGAGAGCCGAGGGAGGGACCTCCCCGAGTCCGCCTTCGCGGCCCTCTCCTGCCCCCTCCCCCCCGCACGTTCCAATGCATCTGCTCTCGGGGTGGGGGCCGGAGGGGGGGTGGGGAAAGCCAAGGCCCGGAGAGCAGCGGGAGCCCGGCTGCGGCCGGCCGCTCACTCCCTACAGCCCTCCGCCCGCTGCACGCGCCCTCGCCGGGGCAGAAGGGTCTGCGGCACGGGGCAGGCAAGCGCCGGAACAAATGCTGCTTAAAATGGCTGATTCCTCTCCACACCAGCTGCAGCCGCTGGGTCTGCAGCGGGGCTGACGAGCGGCCCCCACCCCCACCCGTGATACCCCACAGAAGTCCTCGCCGACCGCAGCGGGGGGAAGGGAGGGCCGCGAACCCGGTCTCCAGTCGCTCTCCTCCGTCCCACACACCAGACCCTGCCTGTGCACTCGGGGAGACTGTCACAGGAGAAATGGAAAGCGGCACTTCCCCGGGCAGGCTCCGAGCGACAGTGCCCGGACGCCAGCGAATCCGACTGAGCGGAGGACCCGCACAGGCGGCCCCGCGGCCCCCTACCTTGATATTTGTTGTCCAGCTCTCGAAGCACAGACACGTTCCTCTGCATGTCGTGGGGCAGCGACTCCACACACTCGAGGTAGTCCTGCACGTAGCAGGTGAGGAGCCGGCTCCGCTCCCCGGTCAGGAGCGCGGCCGACGAGTATAGTTGCTGCTGCTGCTGCCCTAACATCCTGCCGCCGCTGCTGCTCCTCGCCGCCGCCGCCGCCGCCGCCTCCGCATCCAGCAGCCACACATGCAACAGCCACGGCGGCCGCGGCTCCTCTGCTGGGCAGCCCGGCGCCGCGGGGACACCGGCAGCCGCTCAAGAGGGCACAGCCGAGTCCCCCGATCTCCACTCCCCCCAAAAGAAGCCCGCACTCCCCGCCCCCGCGGTAACAAGCCCAGGGGCGGGGCGAGATCAGGGCTCCCTCCTTTTTCCCCTCCCTCCCCAGGACTAGAGCAGCGGGGATCCCCCGGCGGAGCTGGCGCCGGGGTCCCGGGCGTTGACACTTCCCGTCCCCCTCGGAGTCCCCCGATGCTACCAATGCCGTCTCGTAGCACGGACCCCCATGACAAGCCCCTCGCTGCCCCCTTTCCTCCCAATCACCCTCCGTGCCTGTCGGAGAGTCTCTCACTGGACTGCCCCCGCCCCTCCGGCTGCGGCCGCCTCTGCGCCTGCGCAGGACTTACTCCTAATAAGGACGGGGGCCCGCCCCTACCGCCCTACCGAAGGGTTCGCATTCTCCCGCCTTCCCACCGCCGCTCGGGCGATTGGTCTGTCAACTCTCGGCCCGGGGGGAGGGTGCGGAGGACGGCCAAACGGCAAGCTGCGCCCCGCCCCCTCTTAAAGGGGAAGGACTGTCAAGCCCGCCTCTGCTCAATGTCTGAATGGGACTTGAGAGAGAAGGTGGCCGGCTCCTTCCTTCCGCCTTTCCCACAGGGAGGGGGAATCTCGGTCCAACTCCCTCGGCCCGGTGTTACCGACATTTTCCCCATCAGGTGGCTCTGGCGCGGCAACTCGCGGGGCTTTAAAAGAGCAGCAGGCGGCCGGCCGCTTTTCGCTACAACCTGGAGTAAGGCCGGCGGGAACTACGCGACCCAGCGTGCAGCGGACGCGGATCCCGGCATGCTCGGCGGCTGTGTTCCCGCCGGGCCGCCCGCTCGTCCGGCCGCCGCCTCGGCACAGTCCGCGGGCCCCGGCCCTGCTGCGGCGGCTTTCGGGCTCACGGAGCGCCGGGAGGGGTGGGGGTGGGGGTGGGGGGCTGGTCGCCGAGGTAGGCGGTGCTTCCGCGGGCCCCCTGCATTTTCTTTCTCTTTAGTCGCCTCGCCTTTTAAATCTCCCTCCTGGCTTTTAGCATGTTTCCGCCCTTCCTCATATGCGGGAGGTCTCCCGCCTCCGAAGTACCTGGCAGGTTTTGTCCACCTTCCGGCTCTTCAGGAATCCTCCGTTTGGTTTAGTCTGCCTCTGCGCCAGAAACGTGTTTGTCCAACACACAACCTTGAAAAAGAATTTTATCCCCTCCGGGTGTCAGAACGTTTAAGCATTAAACGTCGGCGCGGGCTTAGAGGCGGGAGGGGCACACCACCCGCTTTTCATCTCTTTTTACCCTAAGACTGCAAACGGCTGGGGGGCGGGGGGCGGGAAGAAGGGAAATGAGGATAAAAGCCTAATCAGTAAACAGGCCCAGGTCCTTATCGATGTGATCGACGTTCAGGGCTTAATTTTTGTGTAGTGTTAAATGAAACGCTCAGCAGAGATGCTAATTTTAATGCCCGACCGACTCTCGGGATGTAATAACATTTGTTTTTGAAAGAAATGGCTGTAAATAGAACGAGTACGCGGGGAATTTTGGTGGAATGCCCATGAAAACAAGTCCTCTTCTGAGTAGTACCTTTGAGTTAAAAAGGAAACGTGAGTGGATTTCTCCTTCTATCCGGTTCGTTCGCAGGGGTGCTGCCCCTGTATGGTGACCTCTTTAGAGCACCTTTGAGAACAGTAGTAGAAGTAACCATTGACGTCCAGCGAGAAGTCTAGACTTTGATCTAGGGAAATTTTAAATTGCAAGCCAAAACAAAGCCCTCCAGAAAATTCGACATCTTGGTAACAACAAAAATAGTGCACGGGACTCGGAGATTGTGTGGTGTTGTTATCCTGTGACACTTAACGTGGTTTTGACTGCTTGAATATTAAATCAACCCGGGCAGTACGGTGTGGTGTGTTTCGGAGAACCGTCTAGGGATTTCATTGTCATTCTTTAAATCCTTCAGATTAAACAGCCAGGTTTTGTCAAAAACCAGTCACTGTTAAAAATGCAATTTTATTGCTTTTTACCTGAACCCTGCTGTTCTTGTTTACTAATGGGTTTGATTCAGGTAGTCTTTATTGGAGGCCCAAAATAATGTAAGATGCCTTTTTTACTGATTTAGGTTAGGCCCTGAATGTACCTATGGATTTTATTCAACCCGAGAAGTAACCTGCAGGCACATAGGACACGTGGTTAGAACCTAGCAGTAAGAAGGCAGAGAGATGGGGCGCCTGAGTGGCTCAGTCGGTTAAGGGGCTGCCTTCAGCTCGGGTCATGATCCCAGGGTCCTGGGATCGAGCCCCGCATCGGGCTCCCTGCTCGGCGGAGAGCCTGCTTCTCCTTCTCGCTCTGTCTGCCGCTCTGCCTACTTGTGCTCTCTCTCTGTCTCTGTTAAATAAATAAATAAATAAATAAAAATCTTTAAAAAAAAAAAAAAAGAAGGCAGAGAGATGCAGAATACTTAAGACTACCGCCTCAAGGAACCTAGAGCAAGAAGAGAGGAAAGGAGGCTGAGTATGATAATAGAGAACTTTTATACATTATTTTCTCCTTTTTGCTATATTTATAAAAATTAAAGGCTTATTCCTGCCATATTTATGAAAGCACGTTGTGGAGGTGGGAAGAGTACTTACATGGAAAAAAAAAATCACCATATTCCTTAAACTCAACTCGACCGTTGGTTATTTATCATGTTCTTTTCTTCTCAGGAACCACTTAACTGGACATTTGGGGGTTTTTCAAGACTTTTTTGCCGTGCTGAGCCAAATGCGAAATTTTAAAGCCCCCAATTCTCTGCAATGTAGAAATTTATTGGTGATTTACTCTGATAAAGCAAAAAGGCATCTTACCTACTTTTTAAAATATTTTCTACCATAAAGTAATCCTAAAAAAGATAGGTAACCCCAAAATTAGTAGGAGTGTCTGGAATTACCTGTAATTTCAAAATCCGTTTCTTTTAAGAGGTCCCTGGTGGGAAGTGTTTATGCCTCTAAACCTGTGTCTTGTAGCCCTTATTTATATTGTGAGAGGGGAGGGCAAAGCTTCAAACTTTCATTGAAAACAAACTAACAGATAGTTCTGAAGGATTTCTAAAGATACTCCTGAGAAAATTCAGCTATTGCTTAAGTCAGGCCAATTAAATTTGAAATGCTTTTTTTCTTCTTAATGTTTTGTAAAACTTTTTAATTACAGAAAATTTCAAACATGCACAAGAGTAGAGGTAATAGGGACGCCTGGGTGGCTCAGTCGGTTAAGTGTCTGCCTTTGGCTCAGGTCATGATCCCAGAGTCCTGGGATTGAGTCCCGCATCGGGCTCCCTGCTAAGCGGGGAGCCTGCTTCTCCCTCTACCTGCTTCTCCCCCTGCTTGTGTGCTCTCTCTCTCTCTCTGGCAAATAAATAAAATCTTAAAAAAAAAAAAAAAAAAGAGTAGAGGTAATAATACAGTAATCCTAATGCACTATTCACCCAGCTTGAACATATATCAATATATGTCCAACATTATTTCATCTGTGGCCTTCCACACTTCTCTTCCCTTGCTGGATTGTTATATTTTATCTGTAAATACTTTAAATATGGAGGGATAAGAGATAATTAAAAAAAAAAACATACCCACAATTCCATTATCCCATCAAAAAGATTATCTATCATTTAATATTCAGACAATTAAAATTTCCAAATTTCCTTATTGTCTCATTAATATCATTTTACACTTGGTTTAACAGAATCCAAACAAGTTCCACACCTTGCATTTAGTTCGTTAAATCTTTTCTAAACCAGTAAGAGGCAGTTAATTCCCTATTTAATTCAGTGGAGCAAATAACGATGTTTTTTAAGGAGGATATTTGGATAGTTAAAAAGCATTGTTAAAAGTATAAGGAAATTCTAGGAAGGCACTTTAAACAAAAATCCTCATATTAAAATGTCACCAATTGATAGCCCACAGTAGAAATGTAATTGTACCTAATGCAAATAAGTAAATCATTACAAATCTGAGAGTTCATATTAGTTTAGAGTATAATTTTTTCTGGAAGATCCAGTGAAGCATTTTATTTTATTCTTTTTTTTAATTTTAAGATTTATTTATTTATTTATTTGACAGAGAGAGACACAGCGAGAGAGGGAACACAAGCAGGGGGAGTGGGAGAGGGAGAAGCAGGCTTCCCGCCAAACAGGGAGCCCAATGCGGGACTCGATCCCAGGATCCTGGGATCATGACCTGAGCCGAAGGCAGACGCTTAATGACTGAGCCACCCAGGCACCCCCCAGTGAAGTATTTTAAATTGTAGTGAAAAAACCCTAAAACTTTAAGTCCGTTCATTAGTACGATAGGCAACTAAAGCAAGCAGTCTGTCTCCACTGAGGTCAGTTTTCAAGTATTTTTAATTGCTTTATTGCATAGGTAGTATACACTAATTGTATTTAAAAAACAGAAAATAGAGCAAAAAAGAGGATACATAAAAATCACTACAAACTGGAGATAGCTCTTCTCAGTATCTAAGTATACCCTCAAGATACAATTCCACTTTTTTGCTTTGAGGAAATACTTTGGCTAGAACTAAAGGATAAAGTTAAGAAAATACTAGATTCTTGAGGTGGAACATTAGAAATATGAGCAGTGTTGGTCTGTACATTTAGTTCATGAGGTAGCACAGATTTAAAATTGGGTGTATACAGTCAGTCCCACTATGGGTTATAGTATTGTTCAGCATTTAGAATGACTACTGTCAGCAAGATGATCACAGCAAAAAATGAAGGGATTGTGAATGACTGGGACTGTAGTAAAGAGAAAATTCAGTATCATGAACTATCATTCCCACAGCCAAGAAGAAAAAGCAAACACATATTATCTACTTCGGTTATCTCAGAAAAAATAACACATATGGTATGCTTTGCATATTGCTGACCAGAAAAACATTCAGTTTTCCCTAGGTGGTTACCATAGTTACATGAGCTGTTTATAGCATCAAGAGGAGGAACTAGGTCACAGTATTGAAGGAGTTTGAATTATGCAATTATGTTTCCTAAAAACAGGAAGGGGTTTCAATTTTAGGGAAGAGAGATTTATACTTTATGTCCAAAATTGAAATTCTGGTCTAATTTTGCCAGTGAAATTTAAAATTTTGTCCAAAATTAAATAGCTGATACTGTAGGTATAAATTGTTCAGTCTATACAAATGCTGTAATAGTGTGTGCTGTAATCCGTAAGTGTGATAAGAGATGCCAATG